AACCTAAGGGGCCACTAGCCAATGACCTGGCCTTCGCTGTAGGGGGCTCTTGTGTGGAGACAGCAGGCGCCTCCCCAATCAAACATCATGTGTATGTCTCTGTGTGTGTGTCCGTGTGTGTAACATCGAGATTGGGCCTTGGCAGCCCCTTCCGTCGGCATGACACTTGGACCGGCTTTGGAGCCCTGTGCAGGAAGACACTAGCTCAAATCAAACAAAGCTTTCGCATCACAAACGTTTTTTGGGGAACGAAAGGCCAGGCCTCCGCGGTCACATCAAGTCGTGACTTTGAGGCCATAGTCTCGGGCTGTACCTTCTTCCAATATGGAGATACGAACAGAAGTAGCACCAGATAGACATCGCCTTGGCCACAGCAGATGTCTTGGGCGGAACAGGAGGAGGAGCAAGCACCTGCACGGAGTTTCAACACATCATGGCACACGAACGGAAGCAGCACCAGTTAGAGATCGGGCCTCGGGCACAGATGCCTGTTTTGGAACAGGGGAAGAAAGTGCCTGCCCTGGCGAGCGCAGTGGTACCTGAGCAGATCAACGTCGTATCTGTCTTCCGAATGCATGGGCGCAAGCTGAGTTCGAAGCCCCGGCCCCTGGATTCAGCGGGCTCGGCACTTCGGGCTTCGCGACCTCTCACTGTTTTCACTACTGCAGCATGAGCCAGCTGGGTTGGAACCAAGCCTGGATCCACTGCCTCTCGAAGTTGCTGCACAGCAGCTGGTAGCGTTCCTGATAGCAAGTGCCAGTTATGCAACACCGTGCACGGACACAGCTACAGGAACACGCTTCTGCATACCGAGACCCCGAACTGGTGAGAACCCAGCCCCCAGCCTTCTCGGATCGCTCATGCCTCAGCTCCTTCGTCGCGGCTTCCTTGTAAGACTGGAAGTCGCGCTTCAAGGCGTCGATGTTGTCGAGTGCCTTCCTGGTCTCAGCCTCCTTGACCTCCAAGTCCTTCTTGTGCTCGGCTTTCAGCTCCATGATCTTGTCCTCCTTGATTTTGTCCTTGTCCGTCATGGACTTTATAAACTTCTTCTCCAGCTCGGCGTGCTTCGTCTCTGCTTCCGTCTTCTGGTGCATGCTCTTGGATATGTCCACCAGCAAACGTTGGTTTCTCTCCTTCTCGTTCTGAAGTGAGTCCTGGGCACGCCGCAAGTGCACCGAGAAGTTGCTGTTTGCCTCCTGCAGCTTTTCACAGGAGATCTCGAGCGCCCAGTTTTCGTACTGGGCTTCCTGGAGGGCGGCTTCACATTGTTGTAGGGCGAACTCCGCGCGTTGCATGCGAGCATGGTCCTCCTTCCAGCGTTCGCCTTCTTAGCTGCAGGCTTTGGCTTTGCTGCTGCAGCTCTGGCCTTTGGCTCCTGTAGCGGCATTGGTGGCGGAGGCATTGCTGGCGGAGGCATTGCTGGCGGAGGCATTGGTGGCTCCGCTGGTGGTCGCGGCGGAGGTGTATCGAGCTGACCAGACCCGATCATCGCCCCGCCATTGTGACCAGGCCCCATCATTGTCCCGCCTTTGTGACCAGGCCCCAGCATCGTCCCGCCTTTGTGGCCCGGCCCAAGCATCATTACCGCCGGTCTCCTCCTCCCAGTGTCCGTATTTGCCTCTTATCGTCCAGTTCCATTTCGGCGCCATGGAGCTTTGCGCAACCCTACCAGCTAAGTGGGGCTTCGTGCGTGAGCAACTCAAAATCCATGCTCATCATGTGTTGTGTCATTGTCATGATGATGCAGGATGTATTGCATCACTCTTGCAAGCAGATGTGCACAGAAGACACCTCGGTCGTGTCACTCTTCGAAGCATCTCAAAGTTTTGGTATGCGGCTCTGTTTACACTGTGAACAGAAAAGTGTGTTGCTCTAGATGGACATGAATGTCGGATCATGTGCCTTGACGCGAAAAGGGTTCTGTGGCATCTTTTGCATGACATGCAGTCACAAGACATGTTGTGCTGACAACATTGACATGGCCTGTCCCCGCTGCTGAACGCACTCTCACAGTGCAGTCATGTTCAGGGTCATGTTGACTGCAAGCATAGTCGATAACACGCCAGAAGTTAACCGACCTGCCTTTCTCACAATGCAAGGCCAGCAAGCAATGCCACGCCGAGGATGAGGCCTGGGGCTCAGTTCTCCGCTGCGTGCACACCAGAAGTGTACTGTATGCCAACTCAATGTCAATTGCCCTGCCTCGTTTTCTCATCACAGCCAACAACACGGCCTGCATCTCAGTCGCAACCATTCTGAAGACTAACTACTATTGCTGTTCAGGGCACTGAGAGAGCAGGATCATGAGGAGCACTGAGAGAGTGCGCTTCAAGCTACCGAGAAACCAGGATCAAGATGAGCACTGCATGAGAGAGTGCGCCTCAAACTGCTGAGAGCAGGGCGGGCGATGAGGATCTTCAGAGACTGTGCCTGAGGCTTGGCCAGCATGGTCGCACTTAGTACTTTGAGTGTAGCTGCCTGTCAGGGCTGATGAATCCGGAGGCACATCGCCAAGGCCTGTGCGTTCCAGCAGCAGATTGACACTGATTCGTTACTTGCACTGTTGCACTCTCTCAGTGCAGACATGTTCTTGCACTGTCACAGTGCTTCGCGTCGGCCGGCACAGGATTGCTGAGGCTTGGGTGGCCTGGCCCCTGGCATCACAATGAAAGCTGCGACCTGCCAAGGTAGTAGACGGCATTCAGCAGCCCACATCTGTTCATGACGCTGAAGCAGCTAGCTCAGGCCAGACCCCACACCGTCGGGACCTTGGCATTGCTGGGCTGCTTTTGCTCAGTTGCACTTCATGAACCGCACAGCTCCCTTTTTTACTTCTAGTGAGCAGGTTTGTGGTTGGGTCACAGAGAACCAGCACTGGGAGAGTGCTGCTCGAAGCACTGTGAGAGTGCTTCTTTTTCAGTTCAAGCACTGGGAGAGTGCTGCTCGAAGCACTGCTCACAGGTTTGTGGTAGGGTGGGTGGGCCTGGGCTCACTGTCTCAGGCACAGTCTCAGTGCCCAATGTCCGCCTCGTACCGACACTCCCCCCCCCAAACCTCCCCCCCACCCCCCGCATTTACCAATGCCAGCCCACCCCCCTACATTCGTTTCACCTTGGGTTTCTTAAAAACTCGGGTTTCGGCATGGGAGTCCGCTTTCTCGCGGGGAAGGCGGACTCCGAGGGCAAGGGCAGGGATTCTCAGTTTTGACAGCACAGGGAGGGCTCCTCTGTTGGCTATGATTTGGGCCCAAGTTTAGGCCCTGGCTCCATCAATCAGCTTGCGTCGGCAGAAAGATCATGGGCAAGTCGGGAGGACCTGGTCGACAGGCCAAGAAGAATGTGTGTTGCACAGCCATGAAAAAGAAAAACACCAAGACTTGCAGAGGAAAAGCATCATGCATGTCTGGTCAGCTGTGGCCTATGTGGCTCGCGCATGTGCACAAACATGGCACATGTTGGCTGCATGCCTGCCTGATTCTCACCCATATTTTGTGTTTGCGAGTGACAGAAGCTCTGAAGCTTCGAGCATCTGACTTCAATTGGAAAAACAAAACTGTGTGGATAGGACCCCTCAAAAAGCAACGTGCCGTGAGAAAGCCTTTGCTGTCAGCTCTGCATCCATTGCTTAAGCACTTGCGCACGCATGGTCTCACCTGCAAGCGAAACCGGGCCAGGGGCATCCTCGGCCGATCTTCATTTAAAGATACTTGGACATGGCCGAAAGGAGATGCTCTATTATTTCCATCTGTTCGCAGTGACTGTAAAACAACACATCGTTGCAAAGACCGTGTGCAAGGCCATCCAGCGCCTTCGGGTCACGTTCGTTTCACCAAAAGGGGTGTGGCTGGACACGAGTAGGGTCAGGTCTCACAGTGGGCGACAAAGGATGGTGCAGGATCTAAAGTTGGCTTCAGTTCCAGAGGAAGTCGCTATGCTGTGTGCGCGAATTGCCGATACGAGGCCGGCATTCAGTGCAAAATGATACTGCATGCACAGGCGGTGTTGTGATACCGCCACCCACGACACTTTGCTGTGAAGGACCTTTCGAGGATACGGACAGGTGGCTGAGGACCAAGCCGGCGAGATCCTGGAGCAAAATGAAAACCTGAAGCATGTGATGACATCACCCTACAAGACTAAGAAGAAGAAGAAGTAAGCACAAGGCTGAGGTGCCAGCTACGTGTGAATGATCGTCAGGCAGCCCTCGTTTCAACAGCTCGTGTTTCACAGTCTTCGCAATAAGTGTGCAAGGCACCTCAGAACCCTCGGAGCGCGGCCAAGGAGAACATGTGATCAACACCTGAAAAGATTCATTCGTCTCACCCCTATGCACGGACCGACCTGAACTGCCACTGACAGGACTGGCTGCAAGTGCTGCCCAAAACGGTTATGTGCCGGACTGTTGCGCACATGTTCTCGTTGGCCATACTCTGAGCAGCACGAGAAACAGGCGATGAAGTAATCACACAAATATTGCCGAATGCAGCATCAGATCACCACGTGACAGGAACGAAAACCTAGCTTTCTTTCTCACCGCAGGCTCTCGCAGCAGCAGAATCCAGGGACGAACGGCATGGGGCAATACGCATGCTTTCCAGCGTTGTCCTTTGCTGACACAGGTGGGGCTCTCTCAGCCCGGGGGGGCTCTCTCAGCCCGAATCAAAAGACTTGGCAAAACACACCCAGGGCAACGGTCGTCCAGTGTAGGTTAAATCATTCTACTTCTGTTCTGTTTTTTGGTGACTGTCGCCGTCCAAGGATGTTTGTCTGCACAGTGGCACACCCACACAGGTCTCAGTGGCATACGGACGGCACTGATAAGTACGACTTATGCTGGGTACTTTGTAGCTCTTGAAGCCAGCCAACTACCACATCGAGACCCTGACAAAGGCCACTCAAAATCAGACACTGTACGCCCAGAGGCTCCAAGTTGGGCCTTGTTTCTGCAATCAGCTTTCTGGTGCCACCAACCGCAAAGCTTTGCCTGGCGGAATCTTGATGTCACCCAGGTTCACCACCATCGGCCGGATCGGCTGCAAGCCCTTGCTTGCCACTGGCGGCCACTTCACTGCCCAGAGCATCGAAGCGAGGCGGCATCGATCCCACACGCACGACGGCACAGCACCGGCAATGTGAACCGCGGGCATTTTCACAGGTCCATCCTTGCCTTCCTCGGACTTGGCAGGGAAGGCCACGGCACGGAACACCAGATGAATCTTGGGCTTCATCTTCACCGTGAATGCTCCAGGTGGGCGCATCCTGCAGCTCATGGAAGCTGATGGTCGCATCATTGGGGTTCGTGAGGCGCTTCGTCTTGATCATCTCTCCCAGACGCGTGACCCTTCCAGCGGACATAACAAGGTCTTTGGAGTCCTTCAGCTCAAAGCTTACCACATCGTTGCCCTTCACAGGTGTCTCTGAGCTCTCAAACTTGCCCTTGTAGTAGCCCGCAAGGACAGTTCCAGCTTTGCAAGTCACGGCATCGGTGTGCCTGTTGATCAAGAAGACGCCGTTGCCCACTGTCACAACCATGTGAAGCTTGGTGGTTCCGATGGCCGCCTCGTGTGTCATGGGGACACCGAGGTCACTTGCATCCAAGAAGTCATCCTCACTCGTCTCCTGCTTGGGCCCCTGGCCGTCGCCCTCCTCTGACTTCGGCCCGCCGAAGAAGTTCGTGATGCGTGCCCGCTTGGCGCTGCTGGGATTATTGTCAGTCTCATCTCGAGGCCGGGTTCGGGAAGCCGCAGGAGCCAAATCCAAGGGGAACTTCTCGCGCTGCTCCTGGAGGAAGGTGCGAAACTCCTGCTGGAAGTGCACATGGTCATGCCACTGCGTCAGCACCTTCGCCGGGGTACTCAGCGAGGTCAGGCCGGCTGGCGTCTTCGTCTTGTTGTTCGGGGTAAGCAAGGAGAGGGCAGGGAAATCTGGCATCTGTATGTCCACATCTGTCCTCAGGCTCAAACTATTAGCAGCCCCGTGTCAGGATGTGTTTTGCATGCCATAAGCACAGACAGTCAAACTTTCTGTCGCGGCTCGTGGTGGTCAAAGGAGTGGGACTCTTGAAGGTCTCCTGGACAAACTTCTCCGCCAGGTCATGCTCATGTGTCTCTGCTGCCCGCGACACAGACACACAGAACCTGCTCACAAGGAACGCGAGGTTAAATCAACTATCAACTCGGGAAATAAACTTATGCACGCATGCTAGCACTTGCAGACCCTAGAGGCTTCAAGAGTCAGCCTGCAAGTGCAGCAACAGCTGGCTGTCGCCCGCAAGGAAGTTGTCGATCAAGGACTTCCCGTTCACGCCTTGCTCTGTCAGCTCCGTATGCAAAGAAGAGACGAGGGCAGCCATCTGGGACAGTCCAGCGAGGTCGTCTGCCGAGAGCTTGCCCCGAATTTCTTTCAGAGTTCGATGATGTTCACAGTCGACATACCTCAATGTCCTCGGGTTCCGCCCAAACTAAGTGTGTGTTGAGTTGCCGCACAACCTAACCCTTGCCACGGAGACTGTGTGCGGCTGGGCCTCAGCAGGAAGGACTTCTCTGTCACAGTAAGGCGTCGAACCCAGTCTTTCGGCATGCCCCTGGGTGTGAATCCAATTTGCAAGGCCTTCTTCGCAAAGGCTTCTTCGGGGAAAGCTGAAGCCGTTCCGAATTCTGAGGCATGCTTCAGCAGGAGCTCGACAGCTTCAGGAGGGCATCCCAGAAGGAAGAGGATTGCTACACGCTTGGACCCACCGAGTTGGGCCTGCTGCGTCGCCTGGCTGTTCCAGGCCCTCAGTAACAATGGGACCAAAATCGCTCAACATCCTCATGTGCAACACGTACGTTTAAAGGGCCAAATTAGGCAAGAATCTGGATCACGACATCGGGTTTGAGGCCCTTGGACTTCAGAAGGTTGAGCTTGCTTAGCCAGCAGGCTATGTCGTGTGCTCGTCTGATTTCACCACGCGCCGAGAGCCTTGCGTTGGCCTGAGAGCGATACGACATGAAGGAACTCCACACACGCATGAGGGACTCTGAAGACTTCCGCAAAAGCTCAAGCAAGGCACAAATGCGATCGTCGTAATGTCACTTCCCATATCCCGCCGGGCCCACACACACTGAAGGCTCTCGTACAGCTTCGGGGCCAGGATGGAGAGGTCCCACTTGCAGTGCAAACTCAAAGCAGCAGTGAAGACCGCCATCGTTGCGCGGCACGCTCCCTTGACCCACTGCGTCCAAGCCCACCAGTCTCGATCAGCCGGAGGTGGCCCGTCCCAGACGACCAGCGGATCACCTGTAGCACACACCACGCTTACAGCAGTACACACCAACAGGAGAAAGGCTCTGAAACACAACCGAACTCCAGGCCTTCTGTCACGAAGGTATTCGTGAGGACGTCGTTCCAAAGAAGAACGCACGTGGCCAAATACGGCGCCGGCTTGGTGCTACTGTCCAAAAAGTAGCTCAGGTCGTGCAGTTGGAGAACGAAGAGATCCGAGGGATTGTCTGGCAACTCCCTCGGATTTACCAAGGGAAGATCGCTTCGACTCGTCGAAAAGTTCTCCTTGAGGGACAACGCCAGTTCCTTTCCGTGGTCATCTTTAGCCAGCGACAGCAAAACCCCCAAGGGCCCGCCGAACTTGTTCATGACAGTCTGGCCAAAAGAGAGTGCCGTTTCCTTCCGATCTCCATTCATGGCCGCTGCATGGAGCTGCTCGTACTCTGCTTCCGGGCTCAGCTTGACTTCCACTTTCGGCTCTGCAGAACTGGCCCCTTTCTCATCGTTGTCTGCCGGCTCATCCTTCATTGCTGTCATGTTGTCTCCCGGCACGGCCTGCGCCATCTGCATCAGGAGCCATGGATCCGGGGAAAGTTAAAGCAAGGAGCAGATGGGAGGGCTTTCAATCCAAAGCCAAAGCTGTTGCCTTGCAAAAGACACGTTGCAAACAATGCGTTCACAGGCCAGCGACTCTTCAGCAGGCTGATGTGTGCCAATGATTGGGAGCTGGCATTGATAGCTCCTTTGTTTTGGTGGCCAACTGCGGGAGTCTTCCGAAAAGTCCGAATTGGTGCACTGGAGCGGATGTGGCCACGACCACACAGACACCAACACCGAGCGATCGGGGGGGGGGGGGGGTCCTGCACCCCGAGATCGCCCGAGTTCGATCGAAACCGAGCGACCTAGGTATCAAGCCATATGATCCGAGTCCTGCACCCCCACTTCGCCTGGAATCGAAACCTTCGGAGGGAGATCGCCCGAGTTCGATCGAAACCGAGCGATCTCCAGGTGCACGAAATCTGCGGGTGGAGATCGCTCGGAACTGAAAGGTTTGGATGCTACTTCAAAGCTGCCCTTAGGTCGCAAGGGGATATATCACTGCAGTCTTGAGCATGCTGCAAAGTTGCTAAGCTTGAACATCACAAGTCCTGGGCATGCTTCAAAGCTGCGCTTGCCAGAAGGTCGCAAAGCCTTCTGGGGTACGCCTGGCAGTATCGTGCCACGGACACTCCATTATAATTTCCACGAGCCAAGGCATGAGCACCTTTGGCACAGCAGCACTGCAATGGCTTGAACAAGTCCACAACATGCTGGGAGTTTGTCAGGAGGGTCGTCCTTTTTCTGATCTTCTTCTCCGGGTTTCCAGGCAAACAAAGGCCGACTTGGCACTGGTCAAAGGTCACAGCCATTGTGGTCTTCAAGCGCATGAGCTTTCGGACCTGTCAATGCGACAAGAAGGCAGAAATGGTGATAGGAACACAGGCCTGAAACCTAGAATTTACAGTCAAAATGCTTCTAAGGCACCGTTCTTCTCTTCCACGAGGAAGCTCTGTTGGGATGCTCATGTACCCAAAATCTCCCAGCATTGCCTTGTACCGTACATACGGTCATGCCGAAATCAAGAAGTGTGTTCGCTTTCTTCATTCGTGCCCTGCGCAATTTTGCTTTCATCTTCTTGAAGTTCCAGAGTCGCTGCAAGTCAGAATACATCGTGCAAGGAGGGCTGGAAACCAGCATTCGTGGCCGAAAGGTCCTCAAAGCTTCAAGCACCGTGTGTTGCCCCTGCCAAGTCAGGAGGTCAGAACCAGTGATGATGTCAAAGCTTCCAGCCGATGTCAATCCAGCAGGAAGTCTAAGGGCCACTCTAGGTGGAGAGAAAATCTCCATGAAACCTGCCTGTGCTGGCAAAACCGCTTCCAGAGTGACGCTATCCGACTCCTCATCACTGCTGATACTGATGATTTTAGAGGTCTCTCTGACAGCAGGCTCCATGGCACGAAATGACATCCTCTCTGCTCCTGTCTCTCGAGCAGCTGAAGCATACATACACAAGCTTGCCAGAAGAGAGGCTGGTGCAATCATGGACACACAAACAGTAAAGGCTCAACTTCCGAACAGTATGAGCAGTGGACCCACGGAGATCTCGCCCATCGGGACCTCGGAGAACAAGCATGTGCCTTGCGCACCAACCGAATCAGCTGCGAACCCAACGAAACGAACAATATGAGAGTGTACCTCGACCCACGGAGATCTCACCCATCGGGACCTCAAAGAACAAGCAAGTGGCTTGCGCACAAACAGAATCAGCTACGAATCCAACCAAACAATATGAGAAGTGGACCTTGGCCCACGGAGATCTCACCCATCGGGACCGGGTCCAAGAACAAGCACGTGGCTTGCGCACAAACAGCATCAGCTCTGTGTCCAACCAAACGAACAGTATGAGAAGTGGACACACTCGCCCATCGAGACCTCAGAGAACAAGCAAGTGGCTTGCACAAAATAGCATCAGCAAGGTAGTGCAAAGTCTGCGAAACTTCGCGCGAAATCTTTTGAATCCCTCGCACTGACTGCCCACAGGTGGATAAGAAGGGCTTCTCATGGCTTCTGCAAAAGTCAGCCACAGGTGGATAAGAAGGGCTTCTCATGGCTTCTTCAAAAGTCACCACCCAAAACTTCTCAGCACGAGCTCTGCGCCAGGACAGAATCAAGCTTGAAGCAATTTCGAATCAAGAAAACATTAAAGCACAACAATCGCGGATGCTCATGAGAAAAGGTGGCTCGGTCGGTTGAACTCCAGGCCTTCTGCTTCCAAGCATCCCTTGTCTATGTTTTGCACCGTAGGGTTTAGGGCTGAGGGTTTAAAATCTTGTACCTCCACGCAGATTCATCCCTGGAGCTCCTGCAGTCGAGACCCCAGCCAGGACTTGCAGCAGTTAAATGATTGTCAGCTCTGATTTGTTCACTCATGCCGGTGCCCAACGTCTCAAGTTGGCATCATAGGTCAATCCCGCAGCAGTTCGGCACTGCTTGCATCCCGCCTTTGCACGGCGGCACTTGGGGCAGCCCAGACGAGTTTTGCCAGGAGGCAAGTGGATGGCAATACCACGGCACTGAAGCACTGTCACCTCCTCTTGAGGCGGCAAGGGCGCCGGCGCAACCCCCGGCCCCGGCACGGACTCCGGATCTGATGGCATGGCCCCCAAGGCTCTGTGCGGGACAACAGCTTCTGGAACATTGTCTGCCCGCCCTACAGACTCCGGATCTGATGGCATGGCGCCCAAGGCTCTGTTTGCGACAACAGCTTCTGGAACATGTTCTGCCTGCCTTACAGACTCCGGATCTGATGGCATGGCACCCAAAGCTCTGTTCGGCAGCTCTGCTTGAGCTGCTGTCCTTTTCTTGGCCTTGGATTTCTTGGCAGCTGCCGCCGCGACAGGGGCCATGTCCCTTTCTGCGAAGTGCAACTCTTCATCAGCAACGGTGTCTGTGGCACATTCTGGCATTGCTGATCTCGATGCAGCGGCAGCCGGTTGTGCTTGAAGAACACGCAGCCTCGACTAACAATGCAAATCCCAGCAGGAAACACATCAAAACAAAACCCTTTCACAGCCTTTCACAACAAGAGGGCACAATCAGAGTTAGCTTGCTGCAGTGGCAAGGGGCAGAGGTGACGTAGTCAGGGGCTGTGGGTGTGAGCCATCAATCAACTGCTGGATGTACTCTGCAGCTTGTGTGAAGCGCCACGGTCGCTGCGAGATAGTCTCAATGGTTTTCTTGAGTTCCTTGAGTGTGTCAGGCCCGTATGTCTTCCGTCCAGCGATGCCCTCTGGCATGCCATGAGCAACGGCGGCCAAGTGAGCTGCCGGGCAAATCACAATGGCCTGCAAGGCATGCCACCGCAACAACCTTGCTCCTACTGTAACCAACCTTTAAGCATGCGCCTGCCTGGGTGTAGCCTGGGTCGGCCAGGTAGAGCTTGCAGAACATGATGATGTCATCGTCATGGGGAGGGTAGGGGAAGTTGTTCTGAAGCTCCCCGCAGAAAGCTTCAGAAGAGATGTACTGCTCCATCTGCGCGCGGGAGATCAAATGGAACACGTGGGCAGGGTGCTGCCCCTGCTTCAGCTTGCCCCTTGTGCTTGTGTGCCCTGACACGTTGATCTCCAAGAGCTGAAAGAAGCTGCTGAAATCAAAGACTGAGTCGAGCTTCTCAATCCTTTGAGTCCGGTTGCCACGTGGCTTCACATTCTTGATAGCTGCCATGAAGTCCAGCGGGGTTTGCAGAACATGTTCTGAAAACAAATGATGCCGTACCTCGGCAAATCTTTGATCGGGAGCCCCGTGGCTGTGCCCGACCCTGAAAAAGGTCAAGCACACCTGATTGAAGACACGATGATGGATCAACCAGCAAGCCATCTTGAGGGTCGTTTGATTCCGCACTTCCGCGCTGCAGATGTCGGCGTGGATCCTAAGCCCGGTGGGAAATGGAATGCCACGCTCCTGCGAAGCCTGGTAACTCTCGGAAATCATGTCAGCAATGATGGTGACGTCAACATTGGCCGAACCAATCAAGGTAGGATCCTGCAAGTAAAAGGCTTCCTCATGTCCATCGCTCATGCCCAAAGTGAGGCGCAGCTCGGGTCTCTCCATCTTCGAGAATTCTTTGGACTTGGCTATGTTGAGTGGAACTGCAAACTTGGAGCAGTCCATGCCATCGATGGTTATGGACAACCACGATGTGGAATCCTTCTCTTCCGCACTCAGATCAGCAACTCCTGTTGTCATCGCACAACTTCCTTTCAGCCTCCACTGCACGTCGGCTGCCCGGTCTCGGACAACTGCTTGGAGATGCTCCAAGTACGCCTTAGAAACCCTGGTCGCGCCATCAAACGTACTGCAGCTGCGCCTGTAAGCCTTGAAGCGTTCACAGTCATTACACTTCGCGTGTTGTGACTCACCACGCCATCGCAGCACACGTGCGAAGCTCCTGGAATACACGCGGGTAAAGGTTGAGTAGCTAGGCGACGGATTTGGCTGCAGGAAAGCCGTGGCAACCTCTTTCAGTTCGGCCATCGTCGTGTTCGGCGCCAGGTGCTTGACTTCCTTCCTGGAGTCATCTGCTCTCGTTGTCGGGTCGAGGAGTCGCTTGACAGCCACACCAATGTCGCGGTCCAGCACAGCCTCCGTATCCTGTAGGCCATTCGTCATTGTTTCTGGCAGGGATTCTGCAACGAACTCATGAATCTTGGCTTGGCAGGATACCCTTAAACAAACCTATGGGATTTTGACACTAGTCGGCTGAAAGAGAACTTGCTTCGAGACCACCAGGGCACCCATGACCACATCTGAAAGGCAGATGTCACAGCGGCATCCTGAGTCTTGTTGGCAGCCTTGACGCCACAACGTCTCAGATCCAGCGGCGGCTTCGTCGTATGCCCTTCTAGAGCCCACTGGCAGAGCGACGTCACCTTCTTCGGGCTCATCTGAAGAAACTTCGCCACGGCCTCTCGGCGCACCATGATTCCAAACACCTGGAATCGCCGATGCTTTCCAGGCTTCATCTGAGAATCAGGCTCCAGCAGAGCACTGTTGGCCATGCCTGCCCATTGGCGAAGGAGCTCATACTGGTACTCAGCACGCCTCACCATGTCTGCTTCCTGTGATAAAGCCACCTTGATCTCACTCAGCCGCATCTTCAAGGTTCTCTCACCATTGACTTGGCAGCAGCAGCAGTCAAACTGGCAGCACCCAGAGGCAGGCAAAACCTCAACCACAGCATCATGTTCCGACTCAGGGTCACTAGGCACCTCCACAGAAGCCATGACTCCCGCAGAAGAGCACACACGGGCTGCTGTGAACAAAAGAGCTACAGCAACAAGGCAAGTCTGCTTCCACCCAATCCATGCCATTCAGACTTCTTTAGCATCTGCAACTTGAGGCACTGGCCATTTCACTTCGACCTGCAAGCCAAGATGGAAGAAAACTCGCACGACGGGAGCACAAAAGCGATTGAGGGAGTCACGAAGTTGTCCACCACCACGGCGGGCTGCAAAAGCGCCTTGCGCTGATCATGCCATGAAGTTGTCTTCCACCACGACCACAACAACAACAGCCACAAGATTCACAAGAACCACAGCCACAACGACGACGATGACTGATGACAACCAAAAGTACGACAGCGGCAGCAGCAACAACAACAACAACAACAGCAGCCGCTACAAGGACGACAACAACAACAACAAGAAGAAGAACAACAACAAGAACGACAACAAGAGCAACAGCAAGAGCAACAGCAACCTGCCTCCACGGATTCGAGCTGGTCCAGTGCTGACCTTATGAGCGATTTCAATAACCCAACAAGCTCAGTGCCCAGAAGCATGACGAACAAGTAGCTGCATTCACTGAGCACCCTTTTGCAAGACTCAGCACCCTTGGCATGCAGGAAGGCGGTGCTAATTAGGTGGCTGCCTGCTATGTTAAATCTGAACACCGCAGCAGAAGCGAATGCTGCATGCTGAAATCAGTCCATGATCTGGTTCAGGGGCAGCAGGTCTTGACTTTCTTGTGCAAAGTCCGCAGCACTGTTCCGTGGCTCCCCATCTGTGTGAAGCCTCAGGTCCGTGTGCCCTGACATGTGTGCGGAGCTGTCCTGTGTCTGCCTGGCATCCATGTACCGCCTCAGGTCCTCGTGCCCTTCCATGCGCAGGATCATATCCTCGAGTCTCTGCCAAGCCTGATCCCAAGAAAAGCTTTCACAGCCCATATGCAATTTTGCAAGTGTTGTTGTCCTACCTCCTTGTGTTGCTATTGCAAATAAGTTGCTGCAGGAGTTTCAGGAAGCCGAAGCCGTTGTCGCTTCCTCGAAGGCTCGCCTTGCTCTGCGC